TCTCTCTCTCTCTCTCTCTCTCTCTCTCTCTCTCTCTCTCTCTTAACGTCGTAAAAAGCCACGCGAAAAATCACGCTTGAATCAATACTCCACGGCAAGGAAGAGGGCGACAGGAGGGCGAAGATCGGAGAAAAAATAATTAACCGGATGGAAGTGAAAAGTTCGCAGCGCGGATCGATCGTAAATATCGTTAACAGCTTCGATGGGTTCGGCAAATCGGTCACGAAATATTTGTTTTTGCGATTAACGTATCGTCAGACGCTCTCGCAATAAAAATCAAAGAGAGAAAGAGACGAAAGCCAGGAGAGAAAGAGGGCGTTTAATCCGAGCCCGTATCGCTATTTACCGTAGCGCGGCGCGCATCGGAGTTTACGTCAATATTTATTATTGTGTGTACCTTCCGACGAAAGCGTATTAATTAGATGAGGCATCAACCGTGTATGCATGACCGATAATGCGAACTACGGCGGTAATGAATATTGTTAACAAGGTAGAACGCTGTTTAACTGTCGTGCAGCGCCGTTTAAATACCGTTACGCGTGCGCGCGCGCACACACAGATCAAAAGCGAATTTACCGTATGATGTGAAAGGTTATTTAATTGTCGGCATCTAATAGAAGGCAGTTCGATATCCTGGGATCCTAAATACGTAATCGAGCGAAAAGCTGTACGATAAAATATTTCAATGAATTTTACATCGTACACTTTCTTTTCTTTTTTTTTCGACACAATTAAACATCTTAGAGGAGAAGGTGCATCAATAACTGTCAGAAGTGTTAGCAAACATATCTCTTGTTATGTATTCATAATCATTATATTAGGAAAAATAATAAATCGTTTAAGAGCACAAAATTTTTACTAACATAGTGCGAAAAGTATGGTTTTGGGAAATGGTGTGGCAATATAAAACAGATAATAAAAAAAAGATTATTTTTTATTATTATAAAGTTGTTAACATAACATTTTTTATTGAATTTCTTTGAATGTAAAAATCATAAGTTAAAAATAAAAAAATTTTTCTATAAAAATTAAGCTCAATATATATAATTCAAATTATGTAGAAGCTCTTTAGACTTATAAAATCGCAAAATGCGTAAAATGTAGTAATATGGAACGCTGTGTTCCATATGCTCTTGAACACCCATTTTTCAAACGACCCAACAAATCTCAAAGTAGGAGAAATATTTCCAAATAACAAACTCTGCAATCTTGAAATTTCCTACTAATCGACAGCTAATATGTTAGCTAATATGTTAATATGTTAGATTTGTCGATTAAACCAGGAAAACATTCTTACGTTGTGAAAAAGGAAGCTTTAAACAATAGGAAAACAAAGCGACTTCACTTGATACTGTAAACAACGTGGGTCTAATTCCTTTGATGGCCACAATAATTAAGATATCAATGTTTATGTTTATTTTAGTTATTGACAGCCTTGTTTTATGTTACCATTCTGCTTCATACATCTACCTTCTCCTCTAATTACCGTTCGCCAAATATATACCGAAGTTGCTGCTCGAAATGTTGTTGGCTAGACGGTTGACCGTCTACAAGCGTGAAAAATAGCGAGTAACGTCGAGAGCGTAATCGAGCAATAATAAATCGATATCGAGTCGGGAATTAAGAGTCGGGAAGAGAGTAATCTTTTCCTCTCGCTCCGTAATAATGTTTCTAGTGCCATGATTTGTAGCTGCCTATGGTGCTCACGGTGGGAACGTTATTAAATTTTAAAACAGACACGGAACGCTATTAAGTTTCGACCGCATGCGCGTGCGCGCGCGCGTCGCTCGCTCGCTCGCGATTTCGCGAGATAAGAATGACTTCATTAAAATTCAACAGGTAGATCGAAAGTTCTGCGCAGCGAGGGCGGCGATGTAACTTTAAACGTCGTAACTTAAAAACCGCCGCTCGCGATGATATATAGCATCTGGGCATTATCTCTGCTTACAATCCACGCGACTAGCATTTATAATGCTGTTAAACTCGCGCGAAACTTTTCTCAGGCCGGGCTTTACGAACTCAGGTGCTCACGCCGATCCGATTGAAACGGCCCTCTGATTCTCCGGCTGATTTTGTAAAAATCAGACCCAAGTGTTCGTCAATCGACTTTCGCTCGTTGCGTCAGCAAGCACCTAACGTTCGCATCGTCAAAGTTACGCCCTTCGTTCTCGGACTTATCGGGTATTTCCAAGGAAAATTCTACGCTGAACGAGAATGATTTCACGTCCGCGTTTCTTCTCCTCGCTCGTCTCATTATTCTCATCAGACATTATCTCCCTCTCTCTCTTTCTCTTTGGGTAATGGAGCACCATTCGTATACGCGTCCATAGGAAACGCGTTGATTACGATCGGTCCTTCGGACCGATATCTGAAATACATCGAGGCTACAAGCTCGGCGAACGAGCTTGCCTCGTCAGATTGCAATTCGAGCATTTGAAGGAGGAGAGGAGAGGTCATTTCAGAGCGTACAGAAGCGAGAAGGAGAGATAAGTAAAGGAGATAGACTGAGAGAGAGAGAGAGAGAACGGGAAAGCAGATCTGAGATATCGATCCGATATACGGCGTTCCTATCGGCTGACAGGAGCCAGCCTCGATTACGACCTTTCGTAATTACCTAGGGCTCTGCAGTCGTGAAGGGGACAGCAGCTACCGGGTGTCTCAGGCTTGGCCGCCCGCACCTCGACCGGCCGTTGATCAGGTCGACATTTGGGCGGCGGACACGTCGGCACGCATTTGCAGGTACCGTCATCCGTCAGAACACTATCCTCTGGGCAGCTCAACTCGACTCGGTGATGATCTGCGGAATCGACGCGATTTTGGACACTCTGAGCTCGCGTCATCGTCGTCAAATACAGAGAGGGACATACACGGACGTTATATCATTCCTCACTCGAGATACGAATGCGCGTAGAAAATTTTTTAAGATCCGATTTTTAAAAATAATTGTGTTCCGGTGTTCAGAAGCGTAAAATTTGAAACATGTGATTTCAAGTGGGAAATCCAAAGATCTTTCTGGTTTTTATGTTTTACATTAAAATTGAGTGAAATATATATGTTGAACTTTAAAATAACTTAATTATTCAGTAAAATTTAAAATAAAAATTCTATTTTTATTCTATTTTATTCTATTGAATACAATAGCTGATATATAAATAGGATTTCTGTCATTTGATATCATAAAGAAATACGCCTCTGTGTTGAGAAAAAAATACTTGAAAATTTACTTATAGTATATAGTTTATTTCTGTGAATAGTTTCCACAAATGAATTTTCAAGTATTTTTCACGAATCCTCGACTGAGAGCAACGTTATCGCTGATTCGATACATGACAAGTGGCGAAACTCTGGGACGAATAGTTCCGCGAAGCTTTAATCAACGGAAACGCGCGATAATATTCCAGCAGCGTGTAATTTCCATGATCCAATGCGGCAAGTCCGATTTTCCGCGAGCTCGCGCGCGTTTCGCACGGTCGTTCGTTACACTCGGCAAACACTATTTTCCGCCGCGAACACGGTCCGCTTATGTGGACTCCATTACCTGAGGGCACGCAGTTGAAGCGCGGGCAGCAATCGCCGGGGGTGCCGGAAAATGCTCCCTTCGCCACCACCGCCAGCTGACCCGGTCGGCACTTGTGGACTGGACAGTCCGCGCATTTGCAACCGCCGCTCTCGTTCGGCACACTGTCCTGCGGGCACTCGGCGCCGTGCGCGGCTCCTTGAAACAGAAAAATCGCCGGCGGGATTAACGTCAGGAGCAGAAATTCCCGGAGACGGTCGGCGATATATCCCGTAGGACGGCGCCGTTTAAAAGCGCTCCACGTCGAAAGATATCGCGTCCAACTCCCGCTGCTGCAGGGGTTCCCTCAAATTCCCCTCGTAAACGCGCTTGAAATTGTGCCAAACCTTATTTTCTCTCTTTCTCTCTCTCTCTCTCTTTTTCCTTCGTTTATTCCGCCTCGGTTCGTATACATCGTCAACGATAATATATAAATTAATAATAATGACATTTGGAATGTCTCGCGCTAATTCGCTGATTTTTTATCCTCGAAAACGCGACGCGGCGGTAATTTTTCGAAAATAAATTTTGCGAGTCGTCTCTTCCAACTTTGTCCACCCTAATGAATCTCTCGAACCTTTTGCCATTAATATCTGAACAGGCAACGCTCTGTAATTATGTTGATATATGTGACCGCGCGTGTGTGGTTCTATAAGAGAAGAAAAGTCGGCTGCCCGGTAAGCCGGTGGTAGTCAGAATTACGGAGTGTATAACACACACTGGCGACATTAATACAAACTCCTGAATGATGAAGGAAAAGAGATATATCCTTGTCGGTTGCAGCGAGGATCGATTATTTTATTCGGCGGATTATCCCGAGGACACGGACACGCATTATGTTACACTGAGAGAAAGAATATTTAGAAAATAAAGAATTTGGGTACTAACAACATATTTATTTAAATCTAAATTCCTTTATTTAAGTAGGATAAATGATTGCTTTCATGAAAAATTAAACTTTTAAGAAATTGTACATTTCTTTATTTAAAAAATATTTTATATTAAAAAGAAAATACTCTTGATAATTTATTTGTGAAACACAAAGCTTATTTCACAGAAATAAATCTTATATTCCATAGAAATAAACTTTAGTTTACGAAAATAAATTTTATTTCACAGAAATAAACTTTATATCCCACAAATAAATTTTTAATTATTTTTTTCTAGTACAATGAGTTTCTAGTACAAAAATCTTGGAAATTTATTTGTGGGATATAAAGTTTATTTCTGTGAATAAACTGTACATAACACAAAGAAAATTTTCCAATATTTTTCCTCAGTGTAGTATAAGTAAATATGCTATTAGTGTTCATTGAATAAGTATTTTATATTTCTTAGATTTTCTCTCTCACTGTATGTATCCGCGTAGATTGCGGGGATGCCATGAGAGAAGTAGTAAGCTCGATGAATACCAGGCCGGAAACCTCGAAAGTATAGGAGGTGTACAACGAGGAGACGTAAAAAGAACGAAAAGCGGAGTAAGATCGCGCGCCGATGAATCCCTCGCCGACGTTGGCACTTTTAAGCAAGCTGAGACGAATATTATTCGTCACGCAACCGCACTCGCAGGGTCATTACACTTCGCGAGATTCCCTTTTAGCGAATCGCGCGCAATTATTGTCCGCGGTCAAAACTCCAGGCCGCACAAAAGGCTGCCGAGCCGCAGAGGCGTCTTCAAAGACTCGTATTCTGATCGCAAATTGTCGCGACTCCATCACGTGGGAACAGTTCTCACGATCGTTGTTACTTCACACGCGACAAATATACTGCAGCTGGAAATAATTATCTATAGACTATACACATCTTCACGATGCTGAGAGCTGCACTTCGAGCTGCGCGAAACAGTCGCGCAATGACAATTTTCGTCGCGTCGCTCTCCGTGATTGTGACTCTTCAATTAACGAACAAATCGCAGTTCGTTCCTGCGCGATGCCATTCGTTGTTTCGCAAAAACACCAGAATTTCTTCGATTGTCTCGTACAACGTTATCGTGACGCTGGTGCATTGTAACGCGCGACTTTGTTATCGGTTCGCTTTCTGCGCGAAAAGACGCGAACGGCAACACGACAAACATTGCGAATATCTGTAGCTCTGTGAGCGACATCGGCGGTCTCTCAAAAAGCTACATGGATATCGCAACAGGAAACTAGATGTAGAAGAAATATACGTCGGGACGCGGAAGAACTTTAGCGCTCACCCTTTGTGTAGATCCAGTAAAGCCGAGTTTGTATATCCGCGAGAAGAGACACGGCTCCTCTGTGCTGTTGAAGCAAGCGAGATATATTCGATATTCCGAAATTTTTGGAATCGCGATTTACGCGAAAGCCAGGCGAAGCGAAAGGAGCCTTTGAAGGGAGGCCAGAGATTCGTTCATTTCTTTCGTTCGCGCGCGCGAAATACTCGCGAGAACGTATCAGAAATCTTCGCTGCCGCGTAAACACGATTTTCAAGACGAGATACGTCCTCGAGACGGTGTGAGAGCGGCTCGTGCAATCCAAAGGGGATGAATAAATGACTTTTCTAATTAAAAGTTCGCCATTTGAGATTTTAGATGGCAGACTCGCTCTCGAAATATCATTTGCGTGAGCCAACAGAGCTTAATTCTATTTACGAAACTTTTACGACAAACACGTGCTCGCACCTCCGGGTTGGTAGTTCGTGAAGTCTACGCCACATGAAGTCTACGTCTCAAGAAGACATTTTCACCTCTCTGCCGCGGAAGACGCGGCGATTTGAAACGATCCTTTTTAACTTCGCGAGCCCAGCCGGTCGGAGAATTGGCGATCGTGCGGCAATCCTTCTCGTATCCGCGGATGAGTCCGCACATTTTTCGCGGCAAGAGAGATCGATGAATCAACGACACGGCGCGGGAGCGTCCGGTGCATGATGCACTCGCGATGCATTTCGCGTCACGACCAGTCCGTCCATTCGCCCGTTCCTTGACTTTTGGCCGACATGACAGAAACGAGGAGATACGATCTTTCTTTCTTTCTTTCTCTCTCTCTCTCTCTCTCTCTCTCTCGCTCTCTCGCTCGCTCGCTCTCTCTCGGCGGTGACCGGGCACGCAACTTCTTTGTGTCCGGCTTTCGCAATTTCACGTCGGAGATTTCGGGCCCGGATAAGTCCCGTTCTCGTTACCGGCGAGATACGCCAGTGGGAGAGGGGCAGGAGGGGGAGAGGCGAATAAAACGCGCCTTTCGGTTTTCGACGGCTTTCGGCGGCGTGACTGAAGGGAACGTCGGTCAAAGGTTACGCCGCGGCAGGTCCCTTAACTGGAAGGGCTAAGAAGCCAACTCCCTCTTCTGTTCTCCTCCTCCTCCTCTTCCCCTCACAAGAAAGCGAGACGGCCGCGAAAACCTCCGTGATATCCTCTCGGCTCGATCGAAGGGCGATATCCGGCGGATTTTATTGCGCCCGTCCCGCAGTCACGGCGCCGAGGTTTAACGTTCGCAATTCGGTTTCTTAAAGTCGCCTTGAGGAAAAGCGCGCGCGCTACCCCGACGTTTGTGTTCGCCGTTTGCGCACGACTGCTCGGCCCGGAAAACTGTGAGCACCGGCTATTACGGGCGCGCCTGTAATCGGGAGCTTTTGTTGCGAAAAATTCCAGGAATGAAACGCTGGAATTGGGTCTGGATACAAAGAGTAAATCCTCGCGGCAAGTAAGACGAAAATGCAAAAACTTGTGGCCGGATGTTAATTAAACACCTGGCTTAATTAATTCCGTCTTTTTCTTCCTTTAAGCGACGTCTTCTCGCACTTGCAGAGCAGGTCATGCAACAAGATGCCCGCCCCAATCCATTACTTAGACTTTAGTACGATATCGGGTGTAACGTGATAAAAATCACTGAGTTTAATTCCAATTTGAAGTATGGCGGTGAACTCGCACGTGTTTCGTTGCGTGTACTGCAAAATCTTGATCTCAGGGCGAATCGTAGATCACGATCCGAGTAATATCGCAAGACGTTAAGGATTCCCCGGGGCGCTTTGTATCTATAGGGTGTCCCACATCAACCACCAGATATTGAAGGATGAATCAAATCAAAACGAAAAGTTCTTTGCCATTTTTTAACACAGGCAATAGTTTGCAAGTTATTAATTAATTAAGTTTGATGCTTAGCGCGCTCTCATTGGCGGAGCAAAGTAGCGCCGCAAAAATATGAACTTTTGTCTCTCATGCCCGTTTCTACCAACCTTGATTAAATTTTAATTTGAGTTCAAACTCTGTCCAGATAAAGATTGAAACTCAAGTTAAGGTTTAATCGACATCGGTAGGACATACATTAAATTAACTTCGCTATTCTGATAAGTGGAAATAGGAGTTTATCATATCAAAATATCAAATCAGATTTAGCGAGCTCCTTTCCCCATTATTAGTCGGAATAGCGAAACTAGCCTAGAAAGTGAAAATTCGCATTTTTTCGGTACGTGGATACTATTTACCGTTTCAATATTTGTCGGGCGTGGGTCACCCTGTGTGTATATGTGTGTATACATACACACCTCGATCGACACCGGCTCATAAAGTCCTGGAAAACACGGAAGAAATTTCCAGCGGCCATAGCAAAGAACGAACCAGGGACGTTTCGCAGAGGGAAGGGTCGAGTCGTCGTATTTGTCTCGACGGTGGTCGACTTTCTCTTCCACCCTGATCGCGTCTTCATCATTCCCGTAACTCTGGGATTTTTTTTCTTTCCGGGGGATCGTCGCCCATGGGATCAATCGGACGTTCTTATCAGTCCCTTTTCCTACTTTAGGTACTCCGTCCCGAAGCAGGTACACGCCTAGGGCGGGCGTAAATCGACGCGAATCACGCCGTAAAGATGTCCGGGCTGGATACAGCGGTAAGTATCCGGTAACGTTAACTTTAAAGGATAAAGATAAGACACGAGGGCGGCGGGAGAGAGGTCAGGGATCAGCGAGAGAGCGAGAGAGAAATTGAGAGAGGAAGGAGAAGAGAATGGACGATCGCCACACGGTTTCGGGAAACGAAGCAATATCCATCGCGAAGTCGCGATTTAGCGCGATACAATCGATTTACGCGCACGTTGATTTATTTGAGCGGCGCGCACGAGCTGGTGTGTGCACGTCGCACGCGCGGGACGACGTGGGCGTGTGAGAAGAGGAAAGTGGGTAATTTCCTGCGAAAAATAACGTCGCCG